TGGAAAATAGACCTTGACATTTGGGAGTTGTAGTTGCTAGGATTTATAGTTAGCCTACATTTAAAGAGCATTCTGAACCCCACCAATGATAGAATTGGACCAAACTTCCCACACAGAATTCCCATGCCTTGATGGGACTCTCTGGTACGAGTCTCCCTCCACCTTCAAATGCTCTCCCTTGCCTGCACATGCGCACTACACTGCCATGTGCTGAGCATGCCTGCTCTCCCCTCCCAGCTTGGAGTTTCAGAAATAGCCCTCTGAGAGGTCTATTGGCTGAGAGGTCGGTCAATCACAACAGAGGAGGGCTTTTGGTGGGAGGATTTGCATCTGTTTCCAAAAAGGAAGAGAAGGACAGGCGGAGAGATCTTCCTCCTTCTCTGCCAAAGGGGTTCCTAACACCATCAGAAATATGTTTTCTGATGGTCATTGGCGACCCCTTTGAAACCTCCTCGCAACCCCCCCAGGGGTCCCGACCCTCAGATTTAGAAATGCTGCTCTAGTGTAACAAACCAGGTAAGAAAGAATAAATCTCAATGCATTTCAAGGCAGAAATACACCTTTTGTATGTGTGTGTTTGAATGACAAGGTGAGAGCAACTGCGGTTGGTATTTAAATGCATAACAAGACATCTCCAGGAGCTTTTCCTAGTTTTCTGATTTGTCCCCAGAAAACTCGGTCCTTGGAACAATCCTGAATTGGAAACCCCAAGTCGTAGCCTCGTTCAATTGTTATCAAACAGTGAATCAATACCATTACATTTTAAAACAGGACGGCTGAAATAACAGAGAGATTTTGGTAAAAGCCCCGGTTCGTTTCCTCAGCCCAGTCTCCACTCAGTAATAACATCCATGGCTTCAGAATGGGTTATTATATTACTGGCTTTATTTGTTATTTATTATATAATACAAATATGTGGGATTCTTTGATACAAAACATTTGGAAATAAGATATAAAATACCTCCCCCTCACACCCTTCCTATTTTCAGATCCAGGCAGTGTGGGTGGGTGAGGGTGAGTACATCCATGCTGCAATTATTGCCATCCAATATCACTTTCAGGGTCAGGGCTCCATCTGAGAGAATCCTGGGATTTGTAGTTTTGGTGAATTCTTTGCTAGATGGCTCTCGTGCTGCAGTTGCTCCTCTGGATTTTTTTTAAGTCCCCAAATTCTTAGTAGGATGTGTTCAGAGGACTTTGCCATAGACTAAAACATGCCCAAGGTCTAGTAAGGATCTAAACCCTGGACTTTCACTATCAGCACACCAGTGAAAACATTCACACTCACCTCTCGCTCATCTACTGCCTTGTGGAAGGGAGAGTAGCCAAACTCATGTTAGGATGAAAGCTGGGCATAGTGAGCTCCAAAAAGCAGCCCCTCTCCTCTAGTGACAATGTAGTGCAGTGGTTCTCAACCCCAGATGTTTTGCCCTTCAACTCCAAGAAATCCTAACAGCTAGTAAATAGCTGGGATTTCTGGGAGCTGTAGGCCAAGACACTTGGAGACCCATGGGTTGAGAACCATTGATCTAGTGGGAAATATGGTTGCATGAAGCCATACACTTCTCTCTACTGAGAAAAAGCTCACCTTCTTCCTCTGTCCAGAGAAGCCAGGCTTCCACTGCTTCTCTCTGCCAAGAAAAGAGCTCATCCCCTTTCTCAACCATGAGAAGCATAGTCAAGACTTCCACTGTCTCTTCATTGAGAGGAGAGTTCATCTCCTTCAACTGTTCAGAGAACTGAAGCTAGGCTTCCATTGCTTCTCTCTGCCGAGAAAAGAGCTCATCTCCTTCCTCTACCAAAAGAAGTGTAGACAAGACTTCCATCCTTTCTCTTCATCAAAAAGAGAGTTAATCTCCTTCCTCAGTTCAGAGAAATGAAGCCAGGCTTCCACTGATTCTCTCTGCTGAGAAAAGAGCTCATCTCCTTCATCTGTGAAGAGAAGCGCAGCTAGGTTTCCATTGCTTTTCTTAATCAAGAAGAGAGTTCTTCTTCCTCGGCTCAAAGAAGTGAAGCCAGACTTCCATTGCTTCTCTCTGCTGAGAAAAGAGCTCATCTCCTTCCTCCACCAAAAGAAGTGTAGACAAGACTTCCATCGTTTCTCTTCATTGAGAAGAGAGTTCGTCTCCTTCCTCTGCTCAGAGAAGTGAAGGCCAGGCTTCCATTGCTTCTCTCTGTTGAGAAAAGAGCTCATCTCCTTCTTCTGCCAAGAGAAGCTCAGCTAGTTTCCATTGCTTTTCTTCATCAAGAACAGAGTTCATCTCCTTCCTCTGCTGAGAGAAATGCAGTCAGATATCCATTGCTTCTCTTTGGCGAGAAAAGAGCTCACCTCCTTTGTCTACTGAAAGACACTTCTGTCTGCTGAGAGAAGTGCAATTGGTCTCCTGTTGCTTCTCTCAACAGAGGAAGGAGCTCCACACAGATGGACTTCCTACCAAATTTGACACCAAGGGAGGGGGACTGCTTTTGGAAACTCAGAGCAGGCAACTTGGCTCCCTGCTCCCCTTGCCTTCATCCACCAAGAGTCTTTATATATAACTGAATCTGTGTGTAATACACTTGTTTAATATGCCACTCTATTGTAGCACGTTGACTCTTCTCAGGAACTGTAGCTCAGTGGAATGCCACCCCAGAACAGCCAGGTACAAAATTATCAGCCATCTCTACTAAACTACAGATCCCAGGATTCCATAGGATGGAGCCAAAGCAAGCTAATGTTATCAAACAGTTATAACAGTGTAGTGTAAATACACCCAGAGACTGTTCACCTCTCCTCTTTGTCCTCCACGTCAAAAGGTGTTTGACTAGAGGGAAGAGGGCAACACCAATGTCAACTTGGTTGGGCGCTCCCTTTGACACTCACGGGGCATTTGCACATTCAAAATGCTGCCCCTCTACCAGCCACAGTATAGGAACAGTGCCAGATTTTTGGAACTGAGCCTGCAGTCCAACAGCTCCATCGAGAGAAAGCTGGTTTGCCCCTCTCCCCACCCACCCACCCACCCCAAAACCACAGTTGCCCCATGCAATTATTCTTGCCCCCTCTTTCCACCCCTCAAGCAATATACACACTCTTGGTACAGTACTGCCTTTTCCTAGAGCTCTCATTTGGACTACCTTTGGAAACTGGGCACAACAAAATGCTGAGATTTTCAGTTTCTCATGTTAGATGTTGAGCCACAGGTTTGTTTACTGATAAAACAGTACTTCACCTCATAGGTAGGACATGATCTGTCCCTTCCAGGAATATTCAAATGTAGGTTGGGTATATAAGAGAGGCATTGGCCATTTCCATAAGTCTTCCCCAATAATTTTAGCTAAAACCTACACATTTCTTTCCAGTGGTCACCATCAAAAGCACAATGTTATGGCGACATCCATAACATTAGGAAAAACTTTTGGATTATTTTCTCATCCCACTTCCAAAGAAGCCAAGGAACGAATTGCTTTGGCTCTAACCACTTCCCAAGACCATCAGAGGGAAAAGCCCTTTCACCCAAACCCACTGGAGGATGTGGGTGAAACGGCAAGAGAGAATGCTTCTGGAACATGACCATGCAGCTCGGAAAACTCACATCAACCCAGTGATTGAAGCTGCAAGGCCATTCAATGCTAATCAAGCTAGCCAACTGCAACATTCACACTTGCCTCAAACAGACAAGAGTTCTTTCTCCCACCCTGGACATTATTCCACAGATACAAGGGTTGAATGAAAAGTAATGCCGCCACCTTCGTAACTCCTCAACAGATGGCAGTACTGATATGCGGCAGGTATTGGCTTGTTCAGTAGACTCTCCTCTACAGTTCCATTTTGGCAGGAAGCCTTGGTATTGAATGGTTATGTTGTTAAAATGCAAAGTATGGAACCCTGCGCAGAAGGTCAGTCAATGAGACTTAAGCAATGTGCAGTCACTGAATTCTTGACAGCAGATGGTGTCATCCCAAAGGAGATCCATCAGAGAATGCAAACTATTTATGGTGATTGTATTGATGTGAGTACTGTGCACGTTGTTGGGTGAGTTAGTTTAAAGATGTTGAGGTGGGAACATCTGACTTGCATGACAAGCAAAGAGTTGGACGTCCTGTGACAGCAACCACCGAGTTTCACAAGCAAAAGGTTGACAGATTGATTCAGGACGATTGTTGTATCACACAGAGAGAAATTTCTAGCATAATCGGCATTTCACATGCCACTAAAGCCTTAGGCAACACAAAGGGAGTGAAAACTTGAATTTCACTGCCATGCATTTCTCCTAGTGAGACCCCACAGCGAGGCTGCTATGTTGGTTGTTAGACCCAAGAGGGAAGATTTGGTATCATGTGGATTCTTTGAGGGAAAACTTCTTGGCATTGTTTTATTTGGCCATGGGGAGGTGGTAGTCCTGTGCACGTATCGCTAAGTCACAGGGCTTTCGCACATTCAAAATGCTGCCATGAGAACAGCATCAGATTTTTGGACTTACGGCAACCCCATATATTTCATAGGCAAGGAAAAGTCAGAGTTGGTTTTGCACGTTGAGTCAATACGCCCCCCTATTCCAAGTGCTAACCAGGCCTGACCCTGCTTAGCTTCCAAGGACAGACCTGATCTAGTGTCTTCGGGGCATTTACGAGCATCCTAATCAAGTGCAATCTGGTTTGCAGATTGGCAAAAAAGAGGGAAAGAAAAAGAAAATATTTTGGTTGCTTAGAGAAAACTTGGGAGGGATAAAGAAACACAAAGAAGGGAGCAGACAGATTTGGTACCAGGCCAGCTGGCACCTCCATGCAGGATGTCTTGAAGGTTGTGGGGATGAGAGAAACTCACAATGCCGCAACGCCGTGAGTGTGCATACTCCTTCCATTTAAAGGGGAAATTCTGTTCTGCAAGCTTTCCAAGGAGACAATCCTTGTAATAAGAGCCCATAAACTAACTCTTCCCTCCTGCACCTTTTTCCCCATCCCACCTTACTCACCTCCTCTTAACCACCCCAAACCTCTGCGTACTTAGCCAAGGTAGCCTCCCTCCGTCCAAAAACTCCACGAATTCTGTTTCGATGGAGGGGAAGTAATGACAAAGTTGACAATTGGACTGTCCAAACAAAGTGAGGAAGAGGGCCACAGTATGGTGTACGTCTGTGCTTGGCTCTGATGAGCCACGGAGCTGACTCTATGAGGGAAGACATCATACGGGGTGAGATATGGGGTGGGTATCTAAATTTGTCCAGTCCCTAGAGAGAGAGAGAGAGAGAGAGAGAGAGGGACACTTCGGTCACAGTTCTATTTCAAAGGTTTTCTGCCGGTCGCCGGAGAAAGGGTTTGGGACGGCGGAAGGGGCCTTGTTGGACTCCAAAGCTGCCCACTGCTCTTCAAAGGGGTCGGGAGGGTCGCGGCGTGGGGCAGGGGGCGCCGCCTGGGTCTGCTCAGGGGGCCAGGCGCTGCCGTTGGCTTTGGGCCGCATGGTGGGGCCCAGCAGGTTCTGAGGGAAAGGGCTGGCCTTGGCCCCCAGGTTTGTGGCCGGCGCCTGCGTGGCCGAGCAGAAGGCGTTGGCCACCATCTGGGAGGGAGTGATGCCTACCACAGGCACGCTGGGCACGGCGGCGTATGGCACTGCCGGCGGGTAAGCGGCACCCATGGGCACATAAGCCGGTGGCATGTGAGGAGGGATAAACATCCCCACCGCGGGGGCGGCGGCAGTGGTAGCATCGTAGCTTAAGGGGAAGGTTGGCATTGCCACCGCCACTGCCACCTGCTGTTGGGCTTTGGCGGCCTTGGCAACTTCCTCCAGCCAACGTTCAGCTTCCGACGGCGTCCGCTTGTGCCCGGGTTGGAACGGAGGCGTTACGGAAACTCCGGCGGAATTGGCGGTCCACGTGGAGGGGGCTGGAGAGAACGAGATAGGGTAGAAAGGGGGTTAGATACCCATATTTACTCAAGTTAAATGCACCATCAAATCTTATGCGCACCTCAATTTTCAAATCAATGAAACAAAAAAAGTATTTGCTGGCGAATGTAATGCGCAGCAGCAAAAAGTACACTCTTTGTAATATGCCCGTAACAGATGCTGCCTGCTTAGAATTCCTTCTTTAAAAACAATTATGTTGGAACACCAAAGCTTCCAGTAATGGAAAGGAAAACCTATGCAGCAGAATAAATCCACTTTATTTCCTTTAATTCAATGTTATGGAGCCTTGGGGTAGGGTCTGTGGTTTTCCAAGGCCCTGAGCCTTCTCTGCCAAAGAGTGCAGGTGCCTCACCAAACTACAAATCCTAGAATTTTATGTAAATAGTCAAAAACATTGAACCTACGGATGCCTCAATTAGTGTAATTTTATTGGTATCTATTTTTATTTTGAAATTTACCCGTAGCTGCTGCATTTCCCACCCTCAGCTTATACTCGAGTCAATACATTTTCCCAGTTTTTGGTGGTGAAATTAGGTGCCTCGGCTTATATTCGGGTCGGCTTATACTCGAGTATATACGAGTAAATTAGAGATGACGTCCCTCAAATAGGATCTCTAGATACTCCTAAAGTAGCTTCCCCTTTGGCTTTGGCTCAGCACTAATGCGAATCTGATGCGCACCCTAATTTTGGCAAGGTGAGTGTTAAGATTCAAGTAAATACAACACAATAGGTCTCTCTAAGGTAGGACATAACTTGAACTCCCCCACCCCCCCAAAAAAGATACCATGGATAAGCATACCTGTGCCTCCCCCTTCCGTGGGCACTGTGGCAGTGGGGTGGGCAAGGGGGCCACCGAGAGGTCCAGCGCTGCTGGGGGGCTCGCCAGCCGGCTGAGTGAGTGAGGCATCGATCTGGCTGCAGAGGGCAGTGATGCCATCAGAATCCCCATTGGGTGTGGATTCGAGTTCTATTACTGGAAGAAGGAATAAAAGAAAGAAAGAATTCATAAAGAAGCCTTTAAAGAACATGTATCAAGGTCGATGGGCCGTATCTTGGGTATGATCCTGGATTCATCGCTGAGCTTGGATCCCCAAGTTTTGGCGGTGACCAGGAGAACATTTGCATAGTTAAAGCTTGTGCGCCAGCTGTGCCCGTACCTTGGGAAGTCTGACTTGGCCACGGTAGTCCATGCTCTGGTTACATCCCATATAGACTACTGCAGAGGTCCTCAAACTACGGCCCGTGGGCCACATGCAGCCCGCCGAGGACATTTATCTGGCCCACCGAGGGGATGGACCTCAGGCGAAGCCCCTTGCCGCAGGCAAGGGGATTGGCCCTGGCAAGTGATGAGGGGCTTTGCGTGAGGACAAGCCACACGGTGCAGCTTACCTGGCTTGTGCTGCCCCTCATGCGAGCCAGGAAAGGGAGGCTGCACTGAGCGGAGCCCCTCGCCAGGCCCAATCCCCTCGCTGGCAAGCAATGGAAGCGGCGACGGGCTCCGCACGGTGCAGCCTTCCTTTCCTGGCTCGCACGAGGGGCAGTGCAAGCCAGGTAAGCTGCACCATGTGGCTTGGCCTAATGCAAAGCCCCTCGCTGCTTCCATTGCTTGCAGGTGAGGGGATTGGGATTGGCACGCGGTGCAGCTTACCTGGCTTGTACTGCCTCTCGTGCAAGCCAGGCAAAGGAGGGTGCACCGTGCGGCTTGGCATCACACAAAGCCCCTCGCTGCTTGCCATGCCCAATCCCCTTGCCTGGCTCATGCCCCTCACGTAAGCCAGGCGAGGAGGCTGGACCGCGCCACCTGGCATCACATGAAGCCCCTCACCGCTTCCACTCTTGCCAAGCCACACGGTGCAGTGTTCACTAGTTGCCAACCCGGGTGCGAGCCTTCCCTCTGGATCCAGGCCCAGACCCCTCCAGGATGATCTTCAATGGCAGGTAAGCTATACATCCCAGCACCTCCCAAATGCCAAGGTCTATTTTCCCCAAGCCTCTCCAGTATTTATTGTTGGTCATGGGAGTTCTGTATACCAAGTTTGGTTCAATTTCATTGTTGGAGTTCAGAATGCTCTTGGTTGGCAGGGGAACTATTCATCCCAGCAACTCCCAAATGCCAAAGTCTATTTTCCTCAAGCCTCTCCAGTATTTTCTGTTGGTGATGGGAGTTCAGCTGATAGGCTGATCAGTAAACATATTCATGGGTTCCCTGCTGTTATATTAAGACTGTTACCCATGCTGTGACATGCTTGAAGTCAAAATTTCATTTATCTGTAATGAGAAATAAATATTTCACAGTGTATAATTACATATTGTTTTTGTGATTAATCACTATGCCTTATGCTCAGTTTGTAACAATGAAAATACATCTTGCATATCAGATATTTACATTATGATTCATAACAGTAGCAAAATAAGGTATGTGCAGTGTGCATAGGAATTTAATCATAGTTTAAAAAAAAACAAACGATAGTCCGGCCCTCCAATGGTCTGAGGGACAGAAACTGGCCCCCTGTTTAAAAAGTTTGAGGACCCCTGGACTACTGCAACATGATCTATGTGAGGCTGCCTTTGAAGACTGTCTGGAAGCTTCAAATGGTCCAACGGATGGCAGCCAGGTTGTTAACAGGAGCGGTGCTCAGGGTGCATACAACTCCTCTTTTGTGCCAGCTCCACTGGCTGCCAGTCTGCTACCGGGCACAATTCAAAGTGCTGGCTTTAGCCTATAAAGCCCTAAACGGTTCTGGCCCAATTTACCTTTCCGAACACATCTCCCCTTATGAACCATCTAGGACTTTAAGATCGTCTGGGGAGGCCCTGCTCTCAACTCCATCTGCGTCACAAATACGTTTGGCAGGAACGAGAGACAGGGCCTTCTCAGTGGTGGCCCCTCGGCTATTGAACACCCTCCCTAAAGATATCAGATTGGCTCCCTCCCTTTTAACATTTCAAAAGAGAGTCAAAACTTGGCTCTTTGAGCAGGCATTTCCAAATACAGTGTAATAGACATAGAAAAATGGAATGGTTGGACAATGTGATTGGACAATGTGATTGGACAATGTGACTGGACAATGTTCATGTTTTTATAGATTTTCTAATGGTTTTATTATCCGATTGTTTTATTGTATTGAAATTGTATTTTATGATCTTGGTACCAATTGTGAACCGCCCCGAGTCACCTGCGGGCTGAGAGGGATGGTATACACATACACACACACACACACACGAGGGTATTTTTTAAGTAAGGTCCATTTTGTTGTAGACAATAGTAGTTCGCGCATACCGCAACGAGCGCGTGCTTAGTTTCCGCTCTGTAGCTAATCTGTACGGTTCTGTTCTGTGCTTTAAAAATGTTTAAGACTATCAACTCACCCTCCGCATGTGAGGTTCGCTCAGTGATACGGTTTTTGTCAGCAAGGAACCTGCCTGCTGCAGAAATTCATCGACAGATTTGTGAAGTGTACGGTGATACTGTTATGAGTGAAAGCAAAGTGCGTAAGTGGGTACGACAATTCAAAGATGGCCATGACAACGTCCATGATGAGGACCGCTCCGGTCGCCCTTCTTTGATTACAGACGATTTGGTTATCGGAGCAGGCGGCAAGTTTTTATGAAGAGGGTATTTTAAAATTGGTTCAGAGGTATGATAAGTGTTTGAACAAACTTGGCAACTATGTCGAAAAATAGAGTGAAGTATGTACTTTTTGAAAATAAATTTACTTTTTTGAAATAAACTTTCGTTGTGTACTTATGTTCAAACGGACCTTACTTAAAATACTCCTCGTATATATATATATATATGTGTGTGTGTGTGTGTGTGTGTGTGTGTATACACACACACACACACACACACACACACACATATATATAGAGAGAGAGAGTAAATAATCAATAAATAAATAATTATAAATGATGTCTGACTTTAAAATGTCCTCTAACCCTTCCCCAACCTCAGAGTCACAAGAGATGTTGGGTTGCCATTACCACCATCCTCGGTCAAGGACTGTGTGATGTATCGGCGAATTATTATTATTATTATTATTATTATTATTATTATTATTATTATTATTATTATTATTATTCTGCTTTTCCTGCATGTCAGAAGGGGGTTGGACTAGGTGGCCCATGCAGTCCCTTCCATCTCTAAGATTGTATGAAATGCTGTGCATGTTTCGGGCAGAAGGAAGATCCATTTTCCTATTTCCTGATTGTACTTGCCTGCATCTCCAGCTTGCCCCTTGCGCTGCAAAGTGGAGGGCAGTTCGTTCAGCCGCAAAGAGAGCTGCCTCTTGAAGGGGGAGTTCTTCTGGCTCAAGGTGGGGAAGCCCCGGAAAGAGCCCTGCCGCACCAGCTGCTCCAAGGGGGCATGGCGGCGAGGGATGGCGTGGGCACTCCCGACTTCGGTTTTCTCTTCCGGAGATGTGGCCCCTTGAGGCGGAGAGGCGCTGGCCGGCTGGGCAGGGGCCGGCGGAGGAGCGGCGGGTACTGCCACTGCTTCAGCTATCGGGAAAAGACACAATGTTATCAGTGGGGGTAACTTTGGGAATGCCAACTTGGATCCCCCTTATCCACACACCACATGCATGGGCAACCCTTCATGGGTCCCTCAGTTTCCTCCTTTGTTGATTAGTTTTATTTCCTGTGTCCAGTTCTGGGCATCCCAATTCAAGAAAGATATAGTCCAGCTGGAACCTGTCCAGAGAAGGGCAACCAAAAGGATCAAATATTTGAAAACAAGCCCTATAAGGAGCGGCATAAGGAGCTGGGTATGGTTTGTCAGAAACATTAAAAATTAACTCGGCATCTTAAATTACAAAAATGTGAGTCAAGCACTGAAAGGGTTAAATGGGTGCAATGACTCAGCAAAAGCTGCAGTTCTATATAAGCAGGTGTGCCTGTAGCTTAGTAGCCCTCAGTTTGTACGCCTCACTATGAGAAGACCTCAGTGTTAGTTCACCTCAGTGTGGGAGAGGTGTCAGTCTGAGAGAGCCCTCAGTGTGAAAAAGCCTCAGTGGGAGAAAGGCCTCAGTGGAGTTAGGCCTCAGTGTGAGTAGGACTAGTGTGTGAGAAGCTTTGGTGAGAGAAGTCCCGGGTTGAAGGCCATTGTGAATCAAGCACTGCAAGGGTTAAATGAATACAATGACTCAACAAAAGCTGCAGTTTAATATAAGCAGGTGTGCCTGTAGCTTAGTAGCCCTCAGTCTGAGAGAGGTCTCTGTGAGAGAAGGGCCTCAGCATGTTATAGGCCTCAGTATGAGTAGGCCTCAGTGTTAAATGACTCAGCAAAAGCTGCAGTTCAATATAAGCAGGTGTGCCTGTAGCTTAGTAGCCCTCAGTTTGTAGGCCTCACTATGAGAAGGCCTCAGTGTTAGTTCACCTCAGTGTGGGAGAGGCGTCAATCTGAGAGAGCTCTCAGTCTGAGAAGGCCTCAGTGGGAGAAAGGTCTCAGTGGCGTTAGGCCTCAGTGTGAGTAGGACTAGTGTGTGAGAAGCTTTGGTGAGAGAAGTCCCGGGTTGAAGACCATTGTGAATCAAGCACTGCAAGGGTTAAATGAATACAATGACTCAACAAAAGCTGCAGTTTAATATAAGCAGGTGTGCCTGTAGCTTAGTAGCCCTCAGTCTGAGAGAGGTCTCTGTGAGAGAAGGGCCTCAGCGTGTTATAGGCCTCAGTATGAGTAGGCCTCAGTGTTAATTTGCCTCAGTGTGGGAGAGGCGTCAGTCTGAGAAAGGCCTCAGTGGAGTTAGGCCTCAGGGTTAGAAGGCCTCAGTGTGAGTAGGCCTAGTGTGTGTAAAGCTTTGGTGAGAGAACCCCTGGGTTGAAGGCCATTGTGTGTGAAGGCTGCTGTGTGTCAAAAGTTTTCCATTGGAGCCTGCGCAGGCACAGATACTCCATATGTGTGCATTCACAGAGTCCAACCTAAAAATTAACTACGTAGGTATTTTTAATTACAAAAATGTGAGTCAAGTACTGCAAGGGTTAATTGGATACAATGACTCAGCAAAAGCTGCAGTTCAATATAAGCAGGTGTGCCTGTAGCTTAGTAGCCCTCAGTCTGAGAGGTCTCTGTGAGAGAAGGGCCTCAGCGTGTTATAGGCCTCAGTATGAGTAGGCCTCAGTGTTAATTTGCCTCAGTGTGGGAGAGGCGTCAGTCTGAGAGAGGCTTCAGTGTGAGAAGGCCTCAGTGGAGTTAGGCCTCAGTGTTAGTAGGCCTCGGTGTGAGTAGGCCTGGTGTGTGAGAAGCTTTGCTGAGAGAGACCCCAGGTTGAAGGCCATTGTGTGTGAAGGCTGCTGTGTGTAAAAAGTTTTCCGTTGGAGCCTGCGCAGGCACAGATACTCCATATGTGTGCATTCACAGAGTCCACCCTAAAAATTAACTACGTAGGTATTTTTAATTACAAAAATGTGAGTCAAGTACTGCAAGGGTTAAATGGATACTGTGACTCAGCAAAAGCTGCAGTTCAATATAAGGAGGTGTGCCTGTAGCTTAGTAGCCCTCAGTCTGTGAGAGGTCTCTGTGGGAGAAGGGCTTCAGTGTGTTAGTAGGCCTCAGTATGAGTAGGCCTCAGTGTTAATTTGTCTCATTTTATATGGTAGTGTGGAAGGGGCCTTAGATGTCCCAGTAGCTAGTATAGCCCACAGTGAAGATTACTGGAAGCAGTAGTAAAGGTAAAGGTTTCCCTTCACATTAAGTCTAGTTGTGTCCGACTCTGGGGGATTATCATTACATTTATTATTTTACTCTTTTATTGTTATTATTACATTTACATTATTTTACTCCTTTACTATTATTTTATTACATTTATTATTTCTATTATTGTTATTATTAAGGTAAAGGTAAAGGAGAGTCGCCCGAGGGCTGAGAAAAGCGGTATATAAATGGAGTAAATAAATAATAATAAATAAAGGTTTTCCCCTGACATTAAGTTGTGTCTGACTCTTGAGGGTTGGTGCTCATCTCCATTTCTAAGCCGAAGAGCCGGTGTTGTCCTTAAATACCTTCAAGGTCATGTGGCCGGCATGACTGCATGGAGCGCTGTTTAACAGAGCAGTACCTATTGATCTACTCACATCTGCATGTTTTTAAACTGCTAGGTTGGCAAAAGCTGGGGCTAACAGTGGGAGCTCACCCTGCTCCCCAGATTCAAACCACCAACCTTTTGGTCAGCAAGTTCAGCAGCTCAGCGGTTTAACCCATTGTGCCACCAGGGGCTCCTGGCAGCAGTAGTCCAACACAATCTGGAAGACATTTTAATTTCCAGTCCTACCATTATATAAATTGGAAGAAGGGGGGAAAAAACACCTGCAGAACTGCAGCATGAGCAAAGCAATCCGTGAAATGTTTTGCTCAGCCCCAAAGGAATGGGAACCTCAGGTTAGCGATCCAGCGTTTTGTTTGGATGTGGACATTCACACCAGTCATATCCAGAGCTCCTACCTTTCTTCCTCTCCTGTGGAGGACGGGCCCCCGAGGGCCGTGTGGCAGCGGGGCCCGTCAGGCGGAAGGATCCTTCTCGGGCGAAGCTGGTGCGAGTGGCATCGAAAGAGGCCGTCACGCCGCACTCCTTCTCCCGCTTCTGCTTGCGCTCCAGACAGGCAGCAAAGGCACAACCTACAGCATGGCTCAAGCGCTCCCCCTGGGTTTTGTGCAAAGAGAGGAAAAGGAGGAGACGGGGTAAGCAATTGCCAGTCCTACACAGAGGTGCAGCTGGCATTCGGGTTCCAGGCGCATTATTTTTGCACCACCAGTCAGTTGGGAACTTCAGCCAAGACAAAATGACTTTAGGTGACCTCCTTGTTCTACTTATCCAGGGCTACACCTGTTGAGGGTCTACACCAGGCATGGGCAAATTTTATCCCTTTGAGTGTTTTGGACTTCCACGATTCCTAACAGCCTCAGGCCCCTTCCTTTTCCCCCTCAGCCGCTTAAGCAGCCCTTGACTTAACAATAGATCTATACCCAAACACCAACGTTTCCTGGACTAACGGATCCATCTACTTGGCTAGCTAATATAGAGTGAAAATCATACCTTCTCACCTGGGAAACTGATCAGGACTTCTTAGTCAATAGGCGTGTAAATCCTCCTGTGAAGCTCTATGTTGATGGAACATATATCTCCTATCTAACTGCTCATTAGTCTATCTACCTGGACTTTCATTTTCATCCTCTGAGCTCGGATCTGTTATTAACCTTGCTTCCCAAGAAGGTGCCCGAGGTTGTTAGGAATTGTGGGAGTTGAAGTCCAAAACACTCAAAGGGAAGAAATTTGCCCATTGCTGATCTACACTGTAGGACTAATACAGTTTGACACCACAGCTGCCATGGATCAATGGTATCAAAGCATGGGAGTTGTAGTTTTACAAGGTATGTAGTTGTCTCCACCAAACAGTGCAGGCACCAAAATACAAGTCACAGGATTCCAAAGAAAGGAAGTTTAACTGGTGTAAACCCAGTGTGCATCTACACTGCTAAATTAATACGGTTTGACCCCATGTGAACTAGCATGGCCCAATACTGTATAAATCATGGGAACTATAGTTTTTCAGGGTCTTCAGCCTTCTCTGCCAAAAAGCGCTAATGCCTCACCAAATTACAATTCCCATGATTCCATGGAAAGCGGAATGACAGAAGATTAATTGGGACAGGTGAAGGGTATGATAGCCACCTGATCTCCACACCAGTTGTACAAGCAAGACGCCATAGGAGCATTTGTGGTTCAAGTATGCACATAGTCTCCCACATACAAAACATATTCTCCTCCATCTATGCATTCAGCACTCACCGAGTCTTTCAACGCAAGGAAACAGTGGCAGATCCAACGACGGGTGGTACCATCGCGGCAGATGTAGGAAAAAGCTTTGTCGAAGTTGCGATCCGGAGCACAGAAGGACACCTTCTCAATAGTTTGGTCCACAATCAGATCCTGAAAGATTGGGGGAGAAAGAGCACAGGATGAGACAACATTTTTTTTTCCAGTTTCAAGAGCAAACATTTCTGGCAAGATAAAAAGTATCATTATTATTGACACAAAAACACAGTATGTCACAGCAAACGAGATCTATATGCTGGATTTCGTATCACAAAATCACAAGTCGAACACTTCCCAAGCATCTAGGACTGTGTAATGCATTTTCGAATGATCCGTGCAGATCCAAGTCAGGTGGCCTTTTGCAGTTGACAGACTGTGATTTTGTCAATGTTTATTGTTTCCAAATGCCAGCTGAGATCTTTTGCCACGGCACCCAGTGCGCCAATGACCACTGGGACCACCTGTACTGGTTGATGCCAGAGCCTTTGCAGTTCGATATTGAGGTCCTGATAACGGCTGAGTTTTTCCTGTTATTTTTCCTCAATGCGACTGTCACCCGATATGGCGACATCAATAATCCAAACTTTTTTCTTTTCCGCAATCGTGATGTCTGGTGTATTGTGTTCCAAAATTTTGTCAGTCTGGATTCGAAAGTCCCACAGTATTTTTGCGTGTTCATTTTCCACTACCTTTGTAGGTTTATGATCCCACCAATTCTTTACTGCTGGCAGGTACTTGTGACATAAGTTCCAGTGAATCATCTGGGCCACAGAGTTGTGCCTTTGTTTGTAGTCCGTCTGTGCGATTTTCTTGCAACAGCTGAGGAGATGATCCATGGTTTCATCAGCTTCCTTGCACAGTCTGCATTTTGGGTCATCAGCTGATTTTTCAATCCTGCCTTAATTGCATTGGTTCTGATGGCTTGCTCTTGGGCCAAGAATCAGGCCTTCTGTCTCCTTCTTCAGGGTTCCATTCATGAGCCATAACCAGGTCTTCTCCTTATCAACTTTTCCTTCAATTTTGTCAAGGAACCGCCCATGCAATGCTTTGTGGTGCCAGCTGTCAGCTCTGGCTTGGAGTGCAGTTTTCTTGTACCGGTTCTTTGTCTGCTGTGCTTTGAGAAGTTTCCGATTATTGACTTCAATTAAAGCAGGTTCTTGGCTTTCCTTTACATATTCTGCCAGGGCGTGTTTTTCTTCTTCGACTGCTTGCTTTACTTGTAAAAGTCCCCTGCCACCAGACTTTCTAGGCAGATTATTATTATTATATTAATTATTATTATTATTATTTACACAACAAGATTAGTACACAGCAAGCACTATGCTGGCTTTTGTATTCGATAACACATTGGACATTTCCCAAGTGTCTAGGACTGTGTGATGTATCGGCAAATAATGCGTGCAGTTCCACCCTCCTCTGCCTCCCCAATTTCCTACATTGGTCCTATTTTCTGACCATTTCCATAGGATTCCTACCTTGGTTTTGTCGTCCACAACCCGCAGCCCATCAGCCGAGACCCAGAGAACAGACTTCACAGATTTGCGACCACTCTGTAAGAGCCAAGAAAATAAAAAGTTGGAAGAGTTGTTTGTTCAGATCACATAAACTTTGTAAAAAGGAAAAACTTCGAACAGGATGCAAGAGGAAGAGCATTCTGGGGAGGAAGAAAAATGCAGGGCCTTTGCATTGCGACCTTCAGAAGGACTTCGAGCACAGGCCTTGTTGTTGCTGTCATTGTTCGTACATTGCTTTTTCTCACTAAAATAGTGTTTCCCAATCTGGGGGTCAGGACCCCTGGAGTGGTTGTGAGAGGGCTTTCAGAGGGGTCATGAAAGACCATCAAGAAATATAGTACTGTGGGTTCTGTGTGGGAAGTTTGGTCTAATTCTATCGTTGGTGGGGTTCTGAATGCTCTTTGATTGTAGGCGAACTATAAATCCCAGCAACTACAACTCCAAATTGTCAAGGTCTATTTTCCTCAAACTCTACCAGAGTTTGCATTTGGGCATACTGAGGAGTCATGCCAAGTTTGGTCCAGATCCATCATTGTTTGAGTCCACAGTGCACTCTGGATGTAGGTGAACTATAAATCCAAGACTCAAGGTCAATGGCCACCAAACCCTTCCAGTATTTTCTGTTGGTCGTGTGAGTTCTGTGTGCCAAGTTTGGTTCAATTCCATCGTTAGTGGAGTTCAGAATGCTCTTTGATTGTAGATTAACTATAAATTCCAGCAGCTACAACTCCCAAATGACAAAATCAATCCTACCAATATTCAAATATGGGTGTATTGGGTATTTGTGCCAAATTTGGTCCTGTGAATAAAAATACATCCTGCTTATCAGATATTTACATGACGATTCATAACAGGAGCAAAACTGCAGTCATGAAGTAGCAATGAAAATAATGTTATGGTTGGGGGTCACCACAACATGAGGAACTCTATTAAGGGGTTGCGGCATTAGAAAGGTTGAGAAAGACTGCTCTAAAAAGACTCAGAGTAAAATCAATACAATGCATACAACACCCCCTCCCCAACTCGGAAACCCCCAACTCACCGCCTTCAACTTCTTCACAGCTTCTTCACAAACGTGCATACCCCGGGACTCCTCCACTTCTGCATGGCCAAGGTACTATGGAGAGGAGCAGAGAAGTTGGAAGAAAAAGTCAGCAGAAGCTTTGCACACTTGGAAACTCTTCTCTTTACCGGTCAGCAGCACTACAGTTTGAAATGAGGAAATCTGTAAGAGCCATACAGCTTAAAACGGAAGGCTTAACTCAAGCTCATGATTCAAGTCCGAACTTTCTATGAGTTACAGGCCATTATTGTTGCTAGTGATTCAATGGACATTCTGCTCACAGAATCATAGAAATATCAAACCACCAGAGGTGGAAGGAGCCTCATAGACCATTGAATCCAGAGAAGGAGACTTCACCACCTTTTTAGGCAATTGGATCCATGGTCCAACATCTAAATAGATCTTCCTGTGATTTAAAACTATCAGCCCTGGTCTGACCTTTCAGGGTATCAGAACTTTGCGGGAGCCCTACTGAAGATTGGGAGTCTGTGTCAGAAACATTAAAAATTAACTTTGTTGTTCATTTGTTCAGTCGCTTCTGACTCTTCGTGACCTCATGGACCAGCCCACACCAGACCTCCCTGTCGGCCGTCACCACCCCAACTCCTTCAAGGTCAAGCAAGTCACTTCAAGGATGCCATCCATCCACCTTGCCTTTGGTCGGCCCCTCTTCCTTTTTCCTTCCATTTTACCCAGCATAATTGTCTTCTCCGAGCTTTCTTGTCTTCTCATGATGTGGCCAAAGTACTTCATCTTTGCGTCTACTATCCTTCCCTCCAATGAGCAGTCGGGCTTTATCTCCTGAAGTATGGACTGGTTGGATCTTCTGACGATCCAAGGCACTCTCAGAACTTTCCTCCAACACCACAGTTCAAAAGCATCTATCTTCCTTCACTCAGGTCCAGATCTCACATCCGTAGGTGACTACAGGGAATATCATTGCTTTTACTATGCATATTTTCGTTGCCAGACTGCAGTGTAATGTCTCTACTCTTCACCAATTTATCGAGATTGGCCATGGCTCTCCTCCCAAGAAGTAAACGACTTCTGATTTCCTGGCTGCAGTCTGCGTCTGCAGTCATTTTGCACCTAGAAATACAAAGTCTGTCACTACTTCTATGTTTTCTCCCTCTATTTCCCAGTTATCAATCATTCTTGTTGCCATAATCTTGGGGTTTTTTTAATGTTTAGCTGCAGCCCAGCTTTTGCGCTTTCTTCTTTCACCTTGATTAGAAGGCTCCTCAGCTCCTCCTCGCTTTCGGCCATCAAAGTGGTGTCATCTTCATATCTTAGGTTGTTAATGATTCTTCCAGCAAATTTAACCCCAGCCTTGCATTTGTGAAGTCCTGCACATTGCATGATGTGTTCTGCATACAAGTTGAATAGGTTGGGGGAGAGGATATAACCCTGCTGTACGCCTTTCCCAATCTTGAACCAGTCTCTTGTTCCATGGTCAGTTCTGACCGTTGCTACTTGGTCCTTAGACAGATTCCTCAGGAGAGAAACAAGATGATTTGGTATGCCCATACCACCAAGAACTTGCCACAATTTATTATGATCCACACAGTCAAAGGCTTTAGAATAGTCAATGAAGCAGAAATAGATGTTTTTTGGAAACTCCCTGCCTTTCTCTATTATCCAGCGGATATTGGCAATTTGGTCTCTTGTTCCTCTGCCTTTTCTAAACCCAGCTTGTACATCTGGTAACTCTCTCTCCGTGTATTGCTGGAGTCTTCAAACAATTAAAAATTAACTAGGCATTTTTAATTACAAAAATGTGAGTCAAGCACTAAAAGGGTTAAATGGATGTAATGACTCAGCAAAAGCTGCAGTTCAATATAAGTAGGTGTGCCTGTAGCTTAGTACGCCTCAGTATTAGTTGCCCTCAGTATGAAGAAACTTCAGTCTGAGAGAGGCCTCAGTGTGCGAGGCCTCAGTATGAGAAGGCTGCAGTGTTAGTAGGCCTCAATGTGAAGTAGGCCTCAGAATTAGTAGGTGAGAGGCCTCAGTGAGAGAAGCCCAAAGTTGAAGCTTCAGTGTGAAGGCTGCTGTTTGTAAAGCTTCAGTATGAAGGCTGCTGTGTGAGAGAAGCATTAGTCTGAGAGAGCCCTCAGTGTAAGAAGGTCTCAGTGGGAGAAAGTCCTCAGTGTATGGTAGGCCTCAGTGTTAGTAGACCTCGGTGTGAGTATGCCTGGTGTGTGAGAAGATTCTGTGAAAGAAGCTCCAGATTGAAGGCCATTGTGTGTGAAGGCTGCTGTGTGTAAAAAGCTACTGTGTGATGCTCCTATGTACCGTCGGTGTGAGAAGAGGCTCTGTGAGAGCGAAGCTGTTTATCTGCATGAGAAAGAAGCCCAGCGTGGAAGCAAAGAAGGACGTATAAAGAACTTTATTTGTGTTATGGAAACCTTGTTCTTGTAAATAGTGAAACCATATTATTTTGCTATAAAGAAAAACCTCCTATGGAAGAGATAGCATTGGTCTCTGTGTTTTTGTTGTTTATATCACTCTGGGCTACTGGTGCTGGGTCACGCTGCTGCTGATAAGTTACTCTGCTGTGCATTTATGAGGAGGGTCTTTTGTTAATAAGTCCACTCGCCCAACAGTCTGTTTTGTGGATCGTCTTCAGTACCTTCGAGAGCTCCTTTATAGTTCACATTCAAACTCACACTGGGGAGAAACCCTATCTGAGGCCATTTTCCTTACACAATTATAGTGATACTACGCTTCAGATCTATGGAATCCTGAGATTTGTAGTTTAGGGAGGGTATTTAGAATTCTCAATTAGTCTTAATGTATCTCTAAATGAAAAATTCCAGGACCCCCTAGGAGGGAGCTCGTGGTACCAGAGTGCAGAATTTCATCTATGCTGATGATTATGCAATCACCGCTCAAGCAGGGAGCTTTGAAATGGTTGAACAGACGCTCTCTGAAGCTTTAGGTGCTCTTTCCCTGTAATAGGCAAATACCGAATCCTACTCCATCTAAAACGCAGATGTGAGCTTTTCATCTTAAAAACAGACAAGCATCTCAAGCTCTGAAGATTACCTTGGAAGGAATCCCACTGGAGCATTGCAGCACACCCAAATACCTGGGAATTACCTTGGACCATGCTCTGCCTTACTAGAAGCACTGCTTGAATATCAAGCAAAAAGTAGGTGCTAGAAATGATATCGTAGAATAGCTGACTGGCACAACCTGGGGATCACAACCAAACACTGGCTGTTAGGAATTGTGGGAGCTGAAGTCCAAAACACCCAGAGGGATAAAGTTTGCCCATGCCTGCTATAGTTGAACATAACCACAGAATATGATACTGTATGATTCCACAGCAAATTTGTTTCAGGAAAGGCAAAAGCTGCACATCACAGGTGCTGAGGAAAGGCAAAAAAACAAAAACAAAAAACCTCTTTGCTAGAATAGGACTTTCCTCAGGGTTGCTAAAGATGGCAGCAAACAAACGCAACCTTAAGAAAAGTCATTTTCTTATCAAACACAAGGCTTTGGGAATAAAAAGAGCTTAACCTTCCAGAGTTTAGGGGCTGCCACTGAGAAGACTCTGCACAGTACTGGGGTCCAAGCCAGGCAGCCAGCCAATGAAAATCAAGTATATTCCCACATCCCCAATGAAGTTGCCGCTCACTCACCCGCACAGGGAAGCTGCAGCGTCCTTTGCGCACGGCTTCTTCGTCCGCTTGCCACTGGTGGGGTCGACTCGCTTCCGGGACGTAGGCCGGCTTCTTGCGTCTCAGGCTCTGCCGCAGCTTGTTCATTGCTGCGCCCTGTGGGCCTGTGGATCGAAAATGGCACAGGTAAGCATTGCCAAATACAGAAAGGAAAAGAGGGACGGTGTGTCATATAGAAGAAACCAAAAGCCTTCTAAGAATAAGTGTAGCCTAGAAGGCGAATCCTAAATTGAGAGTCCCTGTCTCTTGGAAGTCCGCCTGCAAAGAATCACGAAGAGGCAAAGGTCTGTCTATGTAAATGGAGAAACGTTTAGGACACTGTTTCCCAGTTTTTGGACTTATTTATTATTTATTTATTTACAGTATTTATATTCTGCACTTTTCATCCTGCAGGGGACTTAGGATGGATTACAATGCACATATACATGGCAAACATTCAATGCCAATTAGACATACAACATATATAGACAGACACAGAGGCAATTTAACATTCCAGCTTTTCCGGTTTCATGAGGGTATGCTCAATTCCAGCCACAGGGGGAGCTGCCGCTTCACCATCCATTTGTGACACTGAGTCCTTTGATGGAGTACTTCCTCATTCTTCTGCACACTGCTGGAAGGTTTTATGGCATTATAAATTAGTTAAATTAGCCTCCCCGCATAAAGCAGTACCTAAATTTCCTACTTGACAGATGCAACTGTTTTTTGGGCTGCATAGGTGAGATTAGACAAGCCCCCATCCTAGCAGCTTTTCCGATGTGCTTTCGGAGAGTGACCACCCAACCCATTTATGTTAGTTTCCATCTACAGTTGTCCACACGATGCACTTTCGCCTACCCTTAATGAAGACCAAACCCCATTGCTCCTCCTTCTCAGGCCCCTCCTTTACAAATACACTTTTTCTATTGCCTACCTCATCCAGGGTTTTAATGTTTTTATCATTTTATCTTGCACATTTGGCCCGCCTTATGTGATTGATTTTATTATGTCATTCTGTATTGTCTATTTTATTTTGTTACATTATGTATTTTGTTGTGTTTAATTTTCTGTTGTTTGTATTTTATCTCGTTATATTATTTTTGGGCTCGGCCTCATGTTAGCTGCCCCGGGTCCCCATTGGGGAGATGGTGGCGGGGTAGAAAGAATTATTATTATTATTATTATTATTATTATTATTATTATTATTATTATACTAGCCGTCCCCTGCCTCGCGTTGATGTGGCCCACATGAGGGTTCTGTGTGAGAGGTTTGGCCCAATTCTATCGTTGGTGGGGTTCAGAATGCTCTGTGATTGTTGGTGAACTTTAAATCCCAGCAACTACAACCCCCAAATGTCAAGATTCTATTTTCTCAAACTCCACCAGTGTTCACATTTGGACATATTGAGTATTCGTGAAGAGTTTGGTCCAGATCCATCATTGTTTGAGTCCACAGTGATCTCTGGATGTAGGTGAACTACAACTCCAAAACCAAAGGACACCCAGTATTTTCTGTTGGTCATGGGAGAACTGCGTGCCAAGTTTGATTCAATTCCATCGTTGGTGGGGTTCAGAATGCTCTTCGATTGTAGTTGAACTATAAAGCCCAGCAACTACAACTCCCAAATGACAAAATCAATTTTTTGAGTGAAGGACATACATTGGGTTGTTAGGTATATTGTGTCGAAATTTGGTGTCAATTTGTTCAGTGGTTTTTTGTGTTCTGTTAATCCCACACAAACATTACATTTTTATTTATATAGACTTACTGTATCCGCCACACGTTGCTGTGGCCAACCTTCCCTCTTTCTCTCCTTCTTTCCTTCCTTCACTCCCTCTTTCCTTCCTTCCTTCCCGTCTTTCCTTCTCTTCTTCCTTCATTCTCTATCTCTTTCCTTCCTTCCCCCTTTTTCTTTCTCTTCTGTTGTCTCTCTTTTCTTCCTTCTCTCTCTTTCCTTCCCTCCCTCTTTCTCTACATCTTCCCCCCTTCCTTCGCTCCCTCTTTCCTTCCTTCTTTCCCTTTTTTCTTTCCTTCTCTCCTTCCTTCTCTAACTTTCCTTCCTCCTCCCTTTTTCTTTCCCTCCCTCTTTCTCTCCTTTCTTCTTTCTCTGCTTCTTTCCTTCTTTCCTTCTCTCTTTGCTTTCATGCTTTCTTATCCCTTTCCTTCTTTCTTTCCCTCCCTCCTTGTTTTCTTTCTTTCTTTGTTTTTTCTTCTCCCCTTCCCTCCCTCTTTCTTCCCTTTTTCTGTTTTGTCATTTAGCTTTTCGTCATTTAGCTTTTTGGGGACTTTTTAAGTCCCTTCTGCTGTGTTTTACAGTGTTTTTATGAGTGAAGGACATACATTGGGTTGTTAGGTGCATTGTGTCCAAATTTGGTGTCAATTCCCCACGTGGTTTTTGAGTTCTGTTAATCCCACAAACGGACATTACATTTTTATTTATACAGATTATACGTCGAGAGCAAGCTAGACTAATAGTTGGAAGCTCACTCTGACCCGGGCTGGCTTCGAACTCATGACCTCTCGGTCAGTAGTGATTTAATGCAGCTGGCTACCAGCTAGTTGTGCCACAGCTCCCAGACTTCAGCTCCCAGAATTCTTGACCATGGAGCAAGGCAGATGAGGCATCTGGGAGCTGAAGTCCAAAACACGTGGAAGATCAGCCTTTTGGGGCTCCATCTACAATGTCATGTAACATCAATATTATCTGCTCTGAACAGAATTATATGGCAGTGTAGACCAAGTATGGGAAAACTTTGCCCCCCCCCCCCAGATGTTTTGGACTTCTCCCTGTTTCCGCTTCTTCCTCTCATCTCCACTTTTGCAAACATTAGTTGGGAGACACATCTCCCTAATCTCCCCAGTCCCGAGATCAAAGCAGGACCAATGCAAGGGAAGCAAAGCGAAGAAGAGTTGTTTTTGCCGGATTTTGAGCAACCCCCCCCCCCCCCCCCCCCCCCCCACTGCTTCGGCTTTGATCTCAGCCTCGCTGATGTAACTGGGACATCTCAATTTAAGATAAATCTCCCAACCCTTCAGAGCCCAGAAGAAGCCTGGCCTCAAACCGTCTGCTTCAGAATTCAATCCACTCGTCGTAAGGCATAGCAGATATATGGCCAAATGGTTTGGGTGTTCGACTATGACTGGGAGACCTGGGTTCGAATCCAGGGAAGCCAAGTGGGGTTGGGTCTATACTGCTATATAATCCAGCTTCTGAATCCAGATTATATGCTCTGAACTGGGTAATTTGAGTCTATACTGCCATCTAATCCGGTAGCTACAACTACCGTGTCAGACTACACTAGAGATGCCATTGATATCCACAAGCATGTGGACAATTTCAACAGAAAGGGAAAAACTATGAAAATGAACAAAATCTGGCAACCAGTATTTAAAAACTCTAAAATCATAACAGTCAATAAAGAACACTCAAAAACAGGGGAACTCCAGACAAGAAACAATCAGAGACAGCCAATCACCTCCCAAAAAAAAAAATTCCCCAGGCAGTAAGAAGCCAGACCTTGAAACTGCTAGGCCATTAAATACTAATCAAGGTGGCCAATTGAAAAATTCACACCTACCTCCAGCAGACAAGAGTTCTTTCTCCCACCCTGGACATTCCACAGATATATAAACCCCATTTTCCTAGCTTCCAACAGACCTCACAATTCCTGAGGATGCCTGCCATAGATTCAGGGAAAACGTCAGGAGAGAATGCTTCAGGAACATGGTCATACATCCTGGTTTTTGGCAACCCCTCTAAAACCTCCCTCGCAACCCACCCGCCAGGGGTCCCAACCTCCAGGTTGAGAAACACTGCCTTATAATAGGACACACACATACATAAGTAATAATGAAATGTATAGGGACATAATATATTTCATGGAAAAATTCATTTTGTGCATTTTTGAAAGTGGCGCAGTGGGTTAAAGCGCTGATCTGCCGAACTTGTTGACCAAAAGGTCACAGGTTCAAATCTGGGGAGCGGTGTGAGCACCCGCTGTTAGCCCCAGCTTCTGCCAACCTAGCAGTTGAAAACATGCAAATGTGAGTAGATAAATAGCTACCGCTACAGCGGGAAGGTAACAGCGCTCCTTGCAGTCATGCCAGCCACATGATCTAGGAGGTTTATTTGTCGTGTCAGGACAACCAATCAATTTTATTATATTTCTAACAGAACAAAGCAAACAAACAGGCAAAATACAAAATTTGTGAGTTTGGTAGTTGATTAAATGTCCTTTGACCAGTATCTGGCCACTTGGAGTGCCTCTGGTGTTGCTGCAAGAAGGTCCTCCATTGTGCATGTGGCAGAGCTCAGGTTGTATTGCAGCAGGTGGTCAGTGGTTTGCTCTTCTCCACACCCACATGTCGTGGATTCCACTTTGTAGCCCCATTTCTTGAGGTTGGCTCTGCATCTCGTGGTGCCAGAGCGCAGTCTGTTCAGCGCCTTCCAAGTTGCCCAGTTTTCTGTGTGCCCAGGGGGGAGTCTCTCATTTAGTATCAGCCATTGATTGAGGTTCTGGGTTTGAGCCTGCCACTTTTGGACTCTCACTTGCTGAGGTGTTCCAGCGAGTGTCTCTGTAGATCTTAGAAAACTATTTCTGATTTAAGTCGTTGACGTGCTGGCTGATACCCAAACAGGGGATGAGCTGGAGATGTCTCTGCCTTGGTCCTTTCACTATTGGCTGCTACTTCCCGGCGGATGTCAGGTGGTGCAATACCGCTAAACAGTGTAATTTCTCCAGTGGTGTAGGGCGCAGACACCCCGTGATAATGCGGCATGTCTCATTAAGAGCCACATCCACTGTTTTAGTGTGGTGAGATGTGTCCACACTGGGCATGCATACTCAGCAGCAGAGTAGCACAGCGCAAGGGCAGATGTCTTCACTGTATCTGGTTGTGATCCCCAGGTTGTGCCAGTCATCTTTCGTATGATATTGTTTCTAGCACCCACTTTTTGCTTGATGTTCAGGCAGTGCTTCTTGTAGGTAAGAGCACGGTCCAGAGTGACTCCCAGGTATTTGGGTGTGCTGCAATGCTCTAGTGGGATTCCTTCCCAGGTAATCCTCAGAGCTCGGGATGCTTGTCTGTTCTTAAGGTGAAAGGCACATGTCTGTGTTTTAGATG